CCCCGTGCTGGGCACCGCGCAGGGTCGCTTCATCCTGGCTGCGCTGCCTGTGGCTGCTGAAGTCGGAGCATGCTGACCCGCATTTGTCGCTCAGACCAGTAGGGGGCGCTGAGAGAACAGTCCATGCCCTGCAGGAACCTTGGGACCCTTGGGGCTGCCGGCCCCGCGCCCTCTTCCCCCTCCCCCCAGCCTCGGGTCCCCATTCAACCAGCCCCAGAGTCGGGCTCAGTCCTGTGGCGGACACAGGCCTGGGTCCCCTTCCTGTCACCACTCCGTGCTCCCTGGGAGGAAAGATTGTCCTCATCCCCCGGAGTTGATCTGTCCTCCAACTTGTCCTGGGCCTTTTTGCAGGAGGAGCACAGCACAGGCCTCAAGGGAGGCTGCGGTGGTGGCTGATGGCAATGTCGTTGGCTCTCGGGGTCCCACAGAATGGCCCCCTGCAGTACACAGCACACATCTACTCCCCTTGCTCTCCTAGAGCTGCCTGTGTTGGTAGGATTCCCTCATTAAGGTATTTTAAAAACTCTGATATCTGATTATTTACACCTGGAAACTTTGTGCAACCAACCAATACTTAGGGGTTCAGGATTTATTTAGGATCCTCTGCCCACCAGCTCATCAAGGACAGAGAGGTCAGTGCTGGACCTGCCTTCTCACAGAGGATCAGCACATGAGGACAAAGTATAGGATTGTTATGCTTAAAGCATCCTTCAGCAAATATTCAATATTGCCAGACACTGGTGGGTCAGGCCTCTAATTCGAAGGCAGAGATTAGGAGGATCATCATTAGAGGCCAGCCTGGGCAAATAGTTCAGGAGACCTTATCTTGAAAATACTCAGCACAAAATTGGGCTTGGCAGAGTGGCTCAAGAGATAGAGTACCTGAGCATGAGGCTGTGAGTTCAAAACCTCAGTCCTCAAAAAAAAAAAAAAAAGGAAAAGGGAAGGGAAGAAAGAGAGAAGAGAAAAAAAGAGATTCAATGTTACAGACGGGCAAAAGCTTTCTGGTTTGCCAATCACTCAGGGTGTCTGGGGGTGTTGTACCGCAGAGTGGCCACCAGAGGACGATAAGGGCAAACATTTCTGGCCCAGGACAGGGCTGCTACCAGAAAAAGTCCTGTACCCAAGCTTTGGAAGGGGTGTCTGTGCGTGTGTGAGAAGGCCTTGCTGGAAAGGGGTAACTACAGTCCCAGCTGGGCCAGAGGATGGTTGTTTTTTGCCCTTTAATTTGTCCACTCCATCCCCTTACTGCATTGGCAGAGATAAGAAGGCCCAGAGTGCTGCAGAGCCTCCCCAGAAACAAACAGCAAAGACCAGGTGTGACAGGACACAGCTCCTGCTTTTGGCTTTGCCTTTTTCCTGTGGAGACCATCATGGTGGGGGAAGGAAGGAGGGACAGAGGAAGAATCTGAGATGAGAACAAAGATGGGTCCCAAGGCCACACTGCAGGGAGCCATGGGCTCTGATCCTGTTTTTAAAGATACTCCCTGCCCCCACCCATTACAGGATACATCTTCCAGACAGCTCTATCAGGAGCAATTCCAGGAGCTGCTAGACCCTTGTCAGCTAACACCTCATATGACAGCTAACACCTTAGGTGACAGTTAACACCTGCATTAACAAGTAGGGAGAGCAATGCCTGCCCAAGTGGCAAGGAGGTGGGGTGACCTTTGGGGGATGGGGTGTTGGGAAGGAGAGCATGTCTGCACAGAGCATTTCCTGCCATGAGAGCATCTCTGTGTAGAGACTGTATAGCTGCAGCCACAATGACCCCAGTGTCAGGCATGTGATCTACTGGGCACTGCTGTGACCCTAAGGTGAGCAACTGTCCTTGCAGTCCCTGGGTTCTGGAGTGGAGAAGTGTATTGTATGGGAGGGGTCCCTTCTTAGAACTTAGCTAACTAGGGTACTTACCTGCCTGAAGTCCTCCCAGTGCTCTTTGTTGTCCCCACATCAGGGACTGATTCCCTAGACTTGCATGGTTTCTGCCACCTCCTTCCCCAGTCTCACCTCTCTTTATACCATATCATCGGGTCTCTGCTGATCCTGTTGTGATGCCCCCTCTCCAACCCAGAGAACTTGGGGAAAGAACTTCATCTGTCCATCCCACATCCAGGAGATGAAGGCACAATGTACATTTTTACACTGACACCTCTCTCTGACCTGTTTGCTCCTTTCAGAACATCAGACCATGAATCTGGATTGAGTCTTACTCATCTCAATATCTCAGAATCCAGCTCTGGTATTGAGTAATAAATGTTTACTATTTATTAAATGGTAAATATTAATAATGAGTATTAATAGCTGTTGATAAATTAATATTTTGTTTATGAGCACAAAATAAGGTAAGGAAATAGCTGGATGAATGATGAAAATGGATGATGGAGAGATAGTAGTGAAAACAGTTCAATTGGAGTTGTGTGGCTCAAGTGGTAGAGCACCTGCTTAGCAAGTGTAAGGCCCTAGCTCAAACCCTAGTACTGACAAAAAAAGAAAATAGTTGACTGATGTATATATTATCAACAATATAAGAACATATTATAAAGATAACAAATGAGTAAATGGAAGGATGGTGGATGGGTGAATTACTAGCTAGAGATGAATGATGCATACACTGGTAGAATGAGTATGTGGGGTGGGTGCATAATGGCTGGATAAGTACTGGAACATGGTAGATGGTGGTACTAGATAGCAGATGGATGGAAAATGATAGATGCATCTATGTAGTGGAAGTTGGTGGAGTGATGAATAGATAACTTGTAGATTCATAGATGGATGATGAATTGGTATGGATGTTGAATTGATGATTTGATGGCTAGCGAATGGATCTGTAGGTAATGGATGAAAATTGCAGGTAGATGGTGAATGAACCACGGAAGTATAGGTGGATGGTGGATAAATAGTAAGTGGATGATTACACTAGATCTATCCACAGAGAGTGGATGGAAGGGTGGTAGGTAAGTGCTAGTAGATATAAGACTAATGGATGGATCATGAGTGATGAATAAGTGGTTGTCAGGTAGAAGTTGGATGGTGGCTGTATGGTGTACCATGGGAACTAGATGGCAAGTAAATGAATGGTTGCTAACTGGATGAGATAATGAGTTGTGTATCATTAGTCATGGAAGGATAGATAGAAGATGAATGGAGGATAATGAATGGATGGACTAAGGTAAGTGATGATTAGAAGATGAATGGTGGAAGGTTAAATAATAGCTATATTCTTGGAAAATGGATGCATGAAAGATGAATGGTGAACGGGTACTAGTGGAGAGATGGTGGGTGGATGGAAGATGGTGACTGGTATATGGTAAATGGATGGCTTAATGTACACATGGATAGATGACAAATGCACAGTGAGGGGATGATGAATGGAGATGGATACTAAATGAATAGTGAATAATAAATAGGAGGTGATGCATGAGTGGATGAATTGTGGGTGGATCTTAATGGTGGGTGGTTGATGGTAAGTGAATGCTCACTGGTGTTTCTCTATTTTATCCCCAGCAGCTAGAACACAGATGTCACTTAATAAATTTTTTAGAATGGGTGAATATGGTTACATGCACATGATACTTGGGTGGTTTTTGGATGAGTAGTGAATTATGGCTAATAATGGATGGATGGAGAGAGGATATTGTGAGATGGGCATTGAATGGTATATAGGGATAAGGGATGGTAGATGGTTAGTGGATGGATGGAATGATGGTGAATTGCAGTTCATAGAAATATGAATGGATTATGGATGTTGAATGATCAATTACTGATAATGGATGAATCGCGACTGTATGGATTGAGCCTAATGGATAGATCAGGATCTATGGCTAGGAAATAGATAATAGATTGATGACTGACAATTGTATAAATAATTATATATACATATTGAGTGGTTTGGAAAGTTGACGGATGAATAAATGGTAAATGAATGTTGGACATATGGGTGTTTTCGTGGTGTATTAGTGCTTAGTAAAATGGTGTGGATGGTGAATGGATGAATGCACAGTAGACAAAAAGTGGTTGGATCGTGTGTAGTGATAGGGGATGGAGGGTTAGTGGATGTGGCTGTTGGATGATAGCTGGTGGCTGGTAGGTAGTGAATGGATGTTGGGTGTTGATTGAATTGTAGACAGTGAATGGATGGGTGGCAGTTGGAGGGTGAAAGGTACATGGTTGGATTTTGGACAGAATGGATGTTGGGTTATTGATGGTGGATGATGGATGGTAGATGATTGATGTTACCTAGAGATTGGATGGTGACTGGACGGTGGACAAAGATGACTAGATATGGATGGTAGACAGATGGATAAGTGGATGTTGGATTGTGGATGTCAGATGGAAATTGGATCAATAATGGATTTTAGATGGAAGTTGGGAATTATGTGGGTAGAGATTATGCACCTTGGCCTCCAGTGTCAAACTAAATGAGATTGTCTGTCTATGTCGGGCTGTTTTGCTCCTTTTTGGGAATGGGACTGATGATGAAGATGAGAGGGAGGCTGTGGGGTGATCCCCCTTCCCTTACACATCCTACTTTGGTGCTTTCTGTGTTCTTTTCAGTCCTCCCTTCTAGTGTCTCAATTGGAGGGAATCCTTTTCCTATGTATCTGGCCCCACCTAATTCTGTACCTCAAATTCTTGAACACTAATGTTGAGGATTGGGATCTCAAGTGGGTAGGGGCAGGCTCTCGGCGGGGTGGGGGGATGGGGTGGTGTCAAGGGAGATCCTTCGTGGGGGCGGGGGGCAGAAGCTGCTGGGCAGGAGGGCCGAGGGGCAGGCACTCCCCACCCGCCGAGGGCGTGAGTGTGAATGAGAGACCCGCGAGCAAGCGTGTGTGGGCGGAGAGCGCCGGGCACCGAGCTAGGCGAGACCCGCTAAGCGCAGCCCAGCCCGGCGGAGGCCCCGGCGCGAGCACCCGGCGCGGGCGGTGAGTGTGTGGGAGGCAAGGGGCGCCCCGGAAACCCCCTCCCCAGCCTGGCTCCGGCCACCTGTGCGTCCCGCGATGCGCCCTGGCGGCCAGGTGCGGGTGGGTGCGAGGAGGACCAGGGGAGTGAGGAGTTGAGTAGGAGCTGCTGGGGAGGGGGCAGGCGTGGGTTCCGCGGTCAGCCCAGGCTATAGGACGCGGGGCTCTGTCCTGGCTCTGCGCGGCAGCGGTGCCTCTGGCGGCTGTGGCCGGCCGCACCTGGCCCTCCACTCCTGGGATTCGGTGGAGGTGTGTGGGGGCGCTCGCAGCGTTCGCTTCCTCAGGCGCTGGACCCTGGTGCCAAGCAGGAGCAAGGCAGCCCTTGGACACTTGCTCTCTGCCCCGCTGCCTCTCTGCTTGCTTACAGTGACAGCTCTACCATCATTCCTCTCTCCACGCTCTGGATTCTCTCTGGTCTGTCTTCTCTATGTGTCTTTCTTGTCTCTCTGCCTCCAGCTCTGTCACCTCCTTGCCATGTCTCTGTGGCCAGTAGTTTTCCCTGCCACTTCTTGCCTCTTCCAGAATCTGCTGGGTCTTCCAGATGTCTCTCTGGGTCTTGGTCCTGGCTGCCCTGGGCTCTAGCAGAGGTTCCCAGGACCTGGGGTGGGTTACTAGATGGGCCCCAATGGAGGAACAGAGCTGGGAGCAGCGGGTCGCCAGGGAATTTCATGGGCTCTAGGGTTGGGGGCAGGCACCAGTGCATACTGCCTGGATGCCCACTGCCTGTGGATGCCCACCACAGTGTGTGCAACCCTCTCAGCCTTCCCTGGGTCTCATGGAACCTGAGCTGACCTTAGCTGGGTGTTTGTTGAAGGAAACTCATTTTCCAAAATAGCAGACCCCACCCCACCCCACCTTGCTGGGTGTCCCAGCACTCCTCCCCCACAGCCAGCATCTCTCAGGCATTCCATCCTGCTGCTCACTGCTCTCCCTTGACCCAGTCTTACAACCCAGTCCCCCCCCACCTGCTGCCTGTTCAAAATCAGGTTCTGCCTGCTAGACCCCACCTTTGTTTTTGCCTCTGATGTAGGAATAGCCCCAAGAGTCCGCCTGACCACTGTGCAGGTGGAAAGTCCAAGACTGTGAGCAAGACTTGTGGCAGTCTTTGCTGTGGAGGCTCTGGTGGATCCCCCTGTGCCTGATCTGCATCAGTTGCCCTTCAGTGGTGGGTGCAGAGGACATGGCTCAGGGGTGTGTGTGTGTGTGTGTGTGTGTGTGTGTGTGCGCGCGCTCTTGGGAAGGGCACTTTGACCCCTGCCACTCTCAGCCTGCTATCTCAGAAACCCATTCAGGTCCCTCAGGTTCGCTGTGCCCTCCCCTTGCTGTTCCCTGCTGTTCTGGCTACATACATTCTGCTCATCCCTTACCTGGGTCTCAAGGCTGGGTTAGCCTCTTCCCCTCCTGCTGTGCCCCTCTGCAACCCTGGGCACTGGGTGGCAACTGTTGAGTGCTTGCTGTGATTTGTGGAGGGGCAGTCCAGGATGGGGTGGTGTGGGCTCAGTTGTCTAAAGGATTCCTGGAGGAGGAGGCATCCAGCACTGGCTGTAGTGGACACCCCATTTCTGTCTGTCTTCACATAGCTCAGCCTCAGCAGCAGCATGAGCACTCCCCAGCACATTGCATCGGAGCCAGGCCCTGCTGAGAGTGCCACAGGCCCAGTAGGGAAGGTAAGTGGTTGGGCCTTCAGGGTTGGGGGACAGGAGAGAAACAGCTTCAATCTCTGGGCAAGTCCCTCTCACTGCTGGCTTCAGTCTACCCTCTGAGTGAGAGAGGTGGTTGCTCTTTTATAGAAGTCTGGTGGATGAAGCAATTGAATGCAATCCATCCTGGCTTACTTTGGATCCCTCACCCCTTCTGGACCTTGGGCTTGCTCCCCAAGTACAAGAGCACACTTTGCTCTCTGTTGCATAGTTCAATGCCAGTCCTGTCCCCAGCTCCAGTTTTCAGCAGATGTGTCAATTCAGAAAAAAAAAAAAAAAAAGGTGGGAAAACACACACACACACGAAAAAAATCCAAGTCCTGGCACAAAGGAAGCAGACTCAATAGTCTGTTTCAAAGTTGGGCTGGAAGGAGTGGGACCGGTAAAAGGAGAGCTGCCCAGAGTTGCAGGGACCAGCCTAGAGTCTGGAGTCATAGGCATAGCCACCTGCAAGCTCTGCCAGCCTGGGATCCCCTCACCAGAGTGGGCATGCTCTGGGCAGAGCAGTATCCTTGGATGGGGGCAGGGACCAGGATGGGGAAAGAGCCCTGGACTGGCAATGCCAGCATGGGGATTGGCCCTAGGAGGATCCGGCTGCAGGACTCTCTGTCCTCTGTCCTATCTGCTGTTCTCTGAGGCCCGTCCAGTTTCATGTTCCTCAGATGGGCAATCTGGTGATACCTGTTTACGGGCTTCAGGTGGAGCCCAGGAGTGTGCATTGAAACCCACTGTCAGGCAGTTCTTGGCAGCAATTTGGAGCTGTTTAGCACAGTCCCACCTGCTGTGTGCCTGCCCCTGCTTAAGGCATGTGGTGCTACTGGGGGAGGGTAGACCAGCACAAGACAGCTATCCTTCTAGGTGAAAGTCATGGAAGGGATGAGCCCAGGTAAAAGATGGAAGGGGCCTGTCCAGGTAAGAACATGGAGGTGGGGCAGTACAGGTAAGTCAGGGCTGCTGGGGTACCGAGATGGAGGGGCACAAGTAGTACTGCAGCCTCTACCTTGGAAGGCCTTGAATGGGAGGTGGAGATGATGAGGGCACCCAGAGGGCATGTGGGTGGGCATTGAATAATGAGCTGAGAGCCAGCTCAGGTTGCCATGACAACATTTTTCCAGCTCTGGCTGTGGAGGGAGCAGGCCAAAGGCCCAGCAGGGAAGACCCCAGGAAGAGGTTGTGTGTATTCCAGGTACAGGAGGCAGCTGGGAGTGCACTCAGACCTGGGCTCACTCCTAGAGTGACCTTAGCCTTTCCAGCCCCAGGCTCTGTGACATGGGCTTCTGGGGACTGAGTCCAAGTGGGTCCTATGGTACCTCCAGGGAGAACTGTGACCCCAAGGTATGAATGCCTCCTTCCCCAGTAGTGGAGTGGGGGAGGTACTGGGACTGTCTTGGAGATGCAGTGTGTGTGTGTGTGTGTGTGTGTGTGCAAGCGCGCGCGCACGCACGCATGCACTGGTGCTCACTCCTGCCCTAGGACTTGAGGGGAAGGTCCCTGACTTTCCTAGTGGTGTGAAGAACAAGGCAGGAATGGGAGAAGGCAGAGAGCCCAGGCCTGGCATTGCCTCTACCTCTGCTCACATTCTCTGCAGGGTGCAGTGGGTGCCTGGGAGAAGGTTCCTCGGCTGGGCCAGCGGCTGCCCTCCATTGTGGTGGAGCCCAGTGAAACTGGTGCTGTGGAAAGTGGGGAGCTGCGTTGGCCCCCAGAAGGCACCCAGAGGGGAGCTCCTCAGAACCAGGCTGCTGCTGGTGAGTAAGGGGCTGCCTGTAGGGGTACTGAGAAGAGAAAGTAGCCTCTGTCACCTGGTCAGAAGCAGTGCCTCCTTCCATGCCAACTTCTGCAAGAGATACTCAACACCTTCAACCTGCTCACACCCCAGCCATCTGTCTCCCCTGGAGCTTCCACCTGGTGATAGGCACTGCCTAGCCTTGACCCTTCCTAATCACCTTCCTTCTTCTTGCCTGAACCACTCTTGTGACCCCACGCCTGACACCTGGGAGGCACGCAGCATTTGTTGAATGAATGACTGCACATTCTGGGCCCTCATCCAGCCCTTCCTCCCTTTCCTTCCCTTTCTCACCAATTCAAGACTTTTGGAACAGTCCACATTGCCCACTAGGACCTGGAGGGGTAGGGATACAGGAACACATGTGGGGCCATAGGTGGCTCCTGTCATGGTAGCTGGTGTGCTGTTGAAAGGCTGGAGCTTCTGGAGGACTGTGGAGAAGGTGGGGTCACCAGAGTCAGTGAGCTGGGCAGTGGGAACCTCTGGAGAGGACTCTGAGGCCACTGAAGGTTCTGGAGGGGTATGGGAACTGAACTTTGCCCTGTGACGTTTTATGGCCTAACACCTCCTGAGGCGAGGGAATGAATTTGGTAGGGTGCTCAAGCACCTTACCTACTCCACTTGTCCTCAGACCTCAGTCCCTGGGCAGCAGCCCTATGGTCAGTCCCCCCTGGAGCTTGGGCCCAGGAGAGATTCATGCCCATAGCACTCATTTCTGCCCAAAGCCCCCTCACCCTGTCAGTTTCTGCCCTGCACCAAGAACAGCATCAAGAACTTCCCCTTAAGCAACCACTGGGCCTTGGGCCTTGGGGAGGTCTTGGGTCTGCCCTGCACCACCTTTCACTCTGCCACCCTTTTCTTTGCTGCAGGGAGAAGGATGTTCCTACTCCCAGAGCCAGGCCTCATCCTCTACCCTTCCTAGCATACCCATCATCCTCTCTCTTTTTTCATCATTCTAGAAAAGTGGCCTGTCCCTGCCTAGGTGCCTACCAAAGGCTTACCTCAGACCCCATGATCTCCCCAGGCTGCAGCCCATAACCAACATGGAGGTCTTTTTATTTTTGCAGCCCCCTCCCAAAGCCTACCAGGAGAACCACGGAAAGCAGCCGATGATGCTGGCAGTGAGTGTACCAGCTCCAGGCACCGGCCACCCCCAGCTCAGTGACAGATAAGGACCTGGTGAGGCTCTGCTTTCTGACTGCTGAGAGGGCATCAGCTGCATGGTGGCCAGGCTGATCTACCAAGAGGGCTGGACACGAGCCAGCAGAGCTTCCCATCTTGCCTGGTCTGGCCAGGACTTCAGCCCCTGTGCTTTTCCTCGTGGCCCCTCCTTGTTCAGTGGTTTGAAGCAGAAATAAAGGCACTTCCTGGTGGCCAGTGGGCATACTTGGTACGGACTCAAAGGGCTGAGGACAATTTAGGTTCTATCAGTAGCCTTCTGGACTCTCCTTGGGGCCAAGGGTGACCAGAACAGAGTCAGGTGAACATGGGTACTTGGCACGTGGGCTGGGGGTGGGGAGTGGCAGGTTGGGCAGGGCCAGAGGCTCTGAGTGGAGCTTTGCAGGGACTGTGGCCTGTACTCTGCTGCCTGTGCCCAGAGACTCTCTCTCTACTCTGCCCCCAGCATAGGTTACCCAAGGCAGAACTAGCTTCTTCTAGGTGGTCTCTTCATCCTTACTGGGAACAAACTTGGGGTCAGGGCTGTACCCTGAGGGTGAGTTTTTCCTGACACCTCCTTTTACCTGAGTGCAATAGGGCCCAGGGATGGTACCTTGGGTGAGGGATCCTGTTTCTTGCAAGAATTCTCATTTTACAGATGAGGAAACTAAAGTGTATATCGAGGTGCCCAAGGCTAGGCTTGGCTGGGGCTATGCAAGGATCCCTCAGGCTAGGAAGCCACCAAGCTGGCCTCAGAACCCACATGGGAGATTCAGTGAGCAAGCACTTCTACTTGCCCCAAGGGAGTCCCTTCCCAGGGGTCCATCCACAGGAAGTTCCATTCACAGGGTCTCTTGGCTGTGTCCCACAACATGAGGGCAGGCAGAACTAGCTTGTGGGGGCAAAAAGCTGACCACAGCCAAGGGCCCACTCCCCAGGTGTGCAGCGCTCTTGCACCCTCCCAGCCTGGTCCCCTGCCCTGGGCCAGCCTGAGCCATGGCTGAGGAAGCTCAGGACCCAGCAGGAGGTGGTGTTCCTAAATGTGAGTTCATAAAGCACTAAGCCCAGGCTAAGTACTGCCTGAGTTGGATGGAAGGTAGAGACACAGGCCCCTTGTTCCTCCTGGCTGCCTAGCTAACCTCCAGGATGAATAAGGCCTTCTAACAATAGCCCACCCCCAAATGCAGGGAGGTGGAAGAGGAGGTGTCCTAATTTCGCCCAGGAGTCTATTAATTGTAAACCTGTGGGTCGTGCTAGGTCCAGGGTCCAAAATGTCTCCGTGATCCCTCCCCAGGTCTACAGTTTAGGAGAGGTGTTGGGTGCTTCCTGTCCTCACTCAGCCCTTTCTATGGGTCCTGGAGCTAGGAGAAGCCAGGGAGTGAGATGCTCTGAATGGCGGGGCGGGTAGGAGGGGGGGGTATAGGGACAGGAATCAGGCAGACATTTCCCAGGAAGTGCTGCGACACGAGGGATATGGGGTGAAGGAGCCTGGCAAGCAAATATGGAGGCCAAATTTACTGAGATTGACTCCTCACCACACCCTTCCGAGTCAGGGATTATTATGCCCTTTTAAATACGACTTGACCAAGGTCCCACAGCGGACCCACAGAACCATAGAACCCAAGCCCAAGTGGTCCCCACTCCACCTCCAGAGCTCACCATGGACCAAGGCAGCTGTGGAGTGGATATGACCCATTCCAGAGACCCTAGGGCCCCGCCTTGCGTGTAAACTGGGGGGGGGGTGTGACAGCCCATGGTTCACGGAGCGGGGGCCCAGCCCACCCACGCACTGCCACCCGCCAAGTAGGGCGGCAGCTAGAAAACACCCAGACAAGGCCAGATATGACGCCCCGCCCACCAACAGCCCCGCCCCCGGAGGCCCCGCCCCCAACATGCGGGCCGCCTATGATCGTCCTGCAGCTCCCCCTGGTGTCCGCTAGGGTCACTGTGGAAGGAGCGGAGGCCCTGGCCAGGTGCGCATCAGAGGTGGGTCACCCATCTGGGCTCTGCAAATTCCTCTTGGAGAGATTGCTGCTTGGTGTAGGGTCTGGCTCCCTGCCACGCCCCACAGCTGGTTTAGGGGCAGAGGATGGACGACCTCCTGGTCTCAGACTGGGCTCCAGCCTGGACCCCACAGCACTAGAGGTGGAATTTGCTGCCTCTAGCATCTGCATTCCAGGTGTGGACTGCCTGGCTTCCCAAGAACTCCTCCGGGCAAGCAGCTGGTGGTGAGGTCCTTCTCCACGCCCTTCCTTGCCTGGGCCAGGTCCTCATCTGAAGTGAACCCATCGAATCCCCAAAATAATCTCATTTTATGAAGGAGTAAACCCCATTTTCTCAGGCTCACAAACGAAAGTTTCTCTCCTGAGGTGGCAGGGAGCTGACTGCACTCTACTGGAGGTCCCAGATGTGCCTCTCCACCTCAATTGCCCCCTGCTCTGCATTCTTCTGACCCTGGCCAGCCCAGTCCTGTGACCCAGGCTCCTTGGAGACAAGGCTGGGACTTTTCCACAACTGAGAAACTTAGGGAAATAACATGGCAGTAGAATAAAACAAACATCACAGCCTAGTGCTGAAAAGTGGCACGGACTTGGGTGGGCTGCAGTGCTGCTGGGCTTTTGGGGGAGGTCCTGGAGCAGACCCCTGATACCAGAATGGAAGTGACCTGTACCTGGAGATCCCAGGTCCTTGATGTGTCCTGGACACAATCCTGGTCCCTCTCTGGCCAGCTATGTGGCTATGAGTAAATGAGGTCATAATCCAATATAAAAAGGAAATTGAACCCAGACACACACAGAGGCAAGATTGCCCAAAGACACAGGGAGAGGGTGGCCACCTATAGACGGAGGAGAGAGACCTCAGAAGAAACCAGCCCTACCCACACCTTGAGCTCAGCCTTCCAGCCTCCTGAATTGACAGAATAAATGTCTGCTGTTTGAACTACTCTGTCTGTGGTGCTGTGTCATGGCGGCAGTTTCTCTGGAGCATCCAACTGGCTCCAACCAGAGTGGGACAGGCCTGAGTCTGTCCTTGGATTTCCCCTGAGTTTCTTTCCTAGGACAGTTGTAGTGGAATCCCCCTGTGAAGGAGTGGGGGTTGTCTCCTCTGGACCATCGCCATGACCCTCTCCACAAAATAACTCCAGTCTGATTCGTGGTGGTGGCAGTGACCCATGCTTCCAATTCATCAGACTCAGGACCATCTCCACACCTTTGTTGTAACACTGCCCCTCCACCCACAGGGTGACCTTCACTCCTGAGAGTGACCTTGTCTGTTCCTTAGCGCTCTCTCCTGCTTCCAGCTTCCCAGGTCCTCAGGAGCACTATATGATTTAAGGCTATTCCCTGGGAGCTCACCCCACAAGGCCTGCATGCCTGCAGTCTGGCTCTCAGCACTGTTGGGGATGAAACTGATGGACAGACCCGGTGCTGGATCCCTTCACTGGAGGGAGAAGCACTACTGGGCTTGGGCACTGGAGGCTGGGTGTCCTCCCTAGACCAGTGCCTGCCTCTCCTGGCCTTCAATCATAGGAGGGGCTGGCCGTCCTTAGTGGTTCCACCAGCATCCACCCCCATTTTGAGGCCCAAGGGCCCATCCCTCTCCTCCTGTGGCCCCTCACTCTCCACAGCCTCCTCCTCTGCCTCAGCCTCAGCACTGCAGAGATCAAAGTTTGCATCTCTGGAATGAAAAGGGGTGGGAACTTTTCTGAAAGTGAAAGTATGGGGGGTGGGTGAGGGCTGGTAGGCCTGGGAGGAGCTGACTGGGGCTGGGAAGTCCCAGCTGTTGGTCACTCCTCTGGAGGCCCCATGCCTGGGCCCAACTTTTAGGTCCCTGCTCGACAGGCTGGTTTCTTCACAGCCCTTTCTGCCTGGGCCCAGTGTCTGCTCACTTGGCAGGTATGTCCTTGGCAGGTAGGACAGGAGGGACTGGGGTGCTTTGGACAGTGGATACTGAAATTATTCTGGCTCTATTCTGGCCAGTAGGCAGAGTACCAGCTCAATCACAGCGAACACACATACCCAGATACAAAGGCATTCGCACACACATGAACACAGCGCGCACGCACACACACACACACACACACACACACACACACACACACACTTGAGACATACAGACATGCACACAGGCTCAGAGAGACATACCTGGGCTTATGAGGGGAACCACTCACAGACTCTAAGGCACACACATACCAGAACAATCACGTACATGGGGAGACCCTCAAGCCAACACACAGGTGAGCAAAGCTGATACACACATACATGTGGACACACAAAAGGCTCATACTCATATGTTAGAGTCACTTATCTATTTTCCTTGGGTACCTGGGTATATATCAACCCTGGCGGATGGCTGGGTCAGGTCTGTTCTCTGCTGGGAGGTGGGGGGCTTCTGGCAGAGACACCCCAGACATAAACTGTCCCTTAGTCATGGGAGAAGTTAGGCCTAGAGCTGGGCTTGGGCCCAGAGCAGGAGGTACTGACTGTGTTCTAGGGCGTAGCTGGTCAGGAAAGGCTTCTTGGAGGTGGAGCCACTCCTAAGCCCTAAAGGAGGTAGCAGCTGGAGAAGGTGAGGCTTAGGTCACTGCCAGCAGGGAGAACAGCCTGTACAAATGTGTAGAGAGAGGTGTGGAGGAGAAGTGAATGTTTCTGAGTCTGGCAAGCCAGGGTGAGAGCATGGGGGATGAAGCATGAAGGGCTGTTAAGAAGGGCCTTGAATGCCAAGGTAAGGAGGAGGCTGTACTTCTGGTGATGATGGCAGCCTGGGAAGGTTTACGTTCCATGACTACTGTGAAGGGGGCCTTTAAGTGTCATTTTCTAATAGGTTTTTCTGGTGTAAAGGAAGCTATTGATTATCTGTGTAAAATCAACATTGAAAACTTTCTAAACTCTTCAGTTAGCTCTCATAATTTTCTGATTTTCTAAGTTATCATATCACCAATGAATAACGACTGTTGTATGTGTTCCTTCCTAATGTTTGTAGGTCTTACTTTTCTTGTCTTATTTC